CCCAAAAGCAGGTCGGGGAAACCGAACCAGGTCGAGGAACAGCGGGATGGCGGCGCTGCACCTCCCTGCTGTCCCCCGAGCTTGTGGGGCTGGCCGATGTCTGCCCGGTGCGAGGGGCGCCCTGCTTCAGGGCGCCTCGCCCGCCGGGCGGCAGGCTGCTATCCGCAGTGTGGGGAGCCCTGCGGGGAACTCCTGCAGGGCTCCCCACTCTGCGGATGTATGCCCGGCGCGAGGGGCGCTCTGCTTCAGGGTGACCCGCGCGCTGGGCGGCAGGCTGCTATCCGCAGTGTGGGGAGCCCTGCGGGGAACTCCTGCAGGGCTCCCCACTCTGCGGATGTATGCCCAGCGCGAGGGGCGCTCTGCTTCAGGGTGACCCGCGCGCTGGGCGGCAGGCTGCTATCCGCAGTGTGGGGAGCCCTGCGGGGAACTCCTGCAGGGCTCCCCACGCTGCGGATGTCTGTCTGGTGGGCGGGGCGCTCTGCTTGAGGGCGGCCCGCCCGCCGGGCGGCAGGCTGCTATCCACAGCGTGGGGAGCCCTGCGGGGAACTCCTGCAGGGCTCCCCACGCTGCGGATGTCTGTCCGGCGGGCGGGGCGCTCTACTTCAGGGCGCCCCGCCCGCCAGGGGGCAGGCTGCTATCCGCAGCCTAGACAGCCCTGCGGGACCTCTCGCAGGGCTGCCTAGGCTGCGGATGTCTTCCCGAAGCGCTGGGTGCTCTGCTTTCAGGGTGCCCGACGCTCCGGGAAGCAGGCTGCTATCCACAGCCTAGACAGCCCTGCGGGACCTCCCGCAGGGCTGCCTAGGCTGCGGATGTCTTCCCGAAGCGCCGGGCGCTCTGCTTTCAGGGAAGCGGACAGTTCAGACATGACATGTGACAAAGGACATGGGTGGGGCAGAATTGAATACCCTATCAGAGTGTTTCCTATCCCCAGAGTTCCTTCTGGGAAGCTCTAATTGTGCATGACATGAGGCTAGAAAAAGACAGACCTAGGCTATATATCCTATCATTTGAGCTGGTGGTGGTGGGACAGGCTGCAGGCCTATGTATCCTATGTACTGCCGCACCAACATGGGTGAGGCAGGAGGTGTGTGGGGCTGGGCAGCTATTCCCCTCCCTTGTCACACTGAAGTCCATGGAAGGTGGTACTAACATGAAGTTGTGCAGCCAAGGGTGTTGGCCTGGCTGTGGTAGGAGTACAGTGCAACCTCGGTTTTCGAACATAATCTGTTCCGGAAGTCTGTTCAACTTCCAAAATGTTCAAAAACCAAGGATCAAAGGGGGGGAAATTGAAAAATGCACCTTGGAAGTTCAAAAATGTAAGCATTCACTTTCAGGTTTTCAGCATTCAGCTTCCAAAACATTCGGCAGCCGAGACATTCAAAAACCAAAGGTTTGACTGTATAGGATTTGACTCAAGTATGCTCCTCTCAGCCCTTGACTCCATCAGCATATGGGAGGAAGAGTTTTGCCAGAATATGTGTCATGCCAGTGTGTCATGCCGATGGGCTTCCACCACTTTCTAAAGCCCATCAGCCTGCAGATCTTGAGTATAGGATCACACACATAGTTACGTCAATAAGCAGCACAGCTGATATGTGCAGCATCTGTAGTTCCAGTTACCACCATTGCAACACACACCTGTCCTCCTTGGGGCTGGCAGCAGAAACCCTCCTGCCCCCTTAAGAATGATGGCATTCCTCATGTCTTTGACAGGAACCCGGCACTTTCTGCTCCTGTGCTGTGTCCGTCCTGAGGATTCGGGCCAGGTCCGCTTTGTGGCAAAGGCAGCTGCTTCTGAAGCCCGCCTGGAAGTGGAGGGTAAGGGAGCTGCTTCACCATTGGCCCTCAGCTATCATGTGAGAATGGATTGCAATGATAGGCAAACATGGATTGATGTGATTGACCATTGCAGGAGAAGTGTGATGCCACCCAATGTATGTTATGGATTCACAGTGTTTTGATAAATGGAGGTCTCTGTTTCCATTACACAAGGTTATGAGCATAATCTCAACCTGACCAACCATAAGATACTTTCTGCCACATCTTCTACATTTTTCAGCCTATATACTCTGCAACATAAATGGAATAAAGAACTCTAAATATAGGCAGGTGGGAAGAATGGGCTGGGATTAGGAGGTGTGGTAGGAAAGTGTGTGTGTGATGTGGGGAGTCTGGGCAAGTAGGCCTGTATCTGGGAAGATCTATGAATGGATGCATGTATGAGTTGGTATCAACTTAAGGGAACACACAACTTGTGTTGATGAATGATAGGATTGCATGTTAGGCAGGTTGCTGGGTATGTATCGTATCTAGCAAAGGAGAAAGGTTGGTGCTTGTGTGGGGTTTGAGGCTCCATCCCTAGCCAGCTTGAGCCTCTTTGGAGTTGCTTTGATCCAACCATCTCTGGAGGGACTGGAACGTGTGCATGTGTCTGCTGCTTCCATAGCACTGCCCATCCGCATCGTGAAGCCGCTGAGGGACAAGACTGTGCTCGCACGGCACAAAGCCACGCTGGAATGCACAGTGTCTCAGTCTCGTGGCCGAGTGCGCTGGTTCCGTGGGGACACAGAGATCTTTGCTGGCAACAAGTACGAAATCTGCAACTTGGACTGCTACCGAACCCTCGTTATCCACAGCGTTGAGCCTGCAGATGAGGGCCTGTATACATGTGATGCACTGGACGACCGCTCCACGGCCCGTCTGCTGGTGGAAGGTTAGGTGGAACATGCAAGTACCATGAAGAACTACAAAGGGGTGGAGATGGGTGGGCCCAGAGGGGAGCTGGCAAACAATGCTGTGGATTTGGTATGAAGTTGTCTGCTAGCCAAGGTAGAGGGGATAATGATGAAAAGCAGGCAGTGCCACTGTAGGGGGACAGGCAGGCTGCTGTATACACATGGGAAACTGGTGCTGTTCTCTGCCCCTGCAGCTGAAGGGATCCAGGTGGTGCGAGCATTGCGGAACGTAGATGTGGTGGCTCCTGCAGAGGCTCGGTTTGACTGTGAAATCTCTGCTCCCCCGGCATGCAGCCCGCAGTGGAGTCTCAATGGAGAAGACTTGCAGCCCGGCTCACAAGTGCGCATGGAGAGCATGGGGCATATCCACAGGCTGAGGCTCTGCCAGACAACCCCTGGCATGAGTGGGATGGTGAAAGTTACTATTGGCAATGCCCGTTCTAAAGCCCACCTCACAGTCCGAGGTACGTGTGCCTGGCAGCAGAGTGGGTTGGTAGCAGGGAAGGAATTGAAGAGGGTATGTGTGTTTGTGTGTTCCAGGACATAAAAATGCAAGCTGTTTTCTATCCTAAAATGGCGGAATGGTGAACCCTTGTCCTGTAGAAAGAACCATGGGAGAAAAAGACCAGTCCTTCTGCATGGTCTTGGGCGCTGCTGTAGACCTAGCTTGGTCACAACAAGACAGTGAGATGACACATTGGTGCTGGGTGACAAAATGAAGAAGGGAAAGCTGGGCTGTGTGCTTGGGTTCAACAAGAGACACTGTACGCCATGGGTAGCCAGTGTGGTGCCCCACAGTTGCTGTTGGGACTCCCATCAGCCCGGATCACTGGCCCCGTTGGCTGGGACTGAGCACCTGGAGGGCCACAGGTCCCCTATCCCTGGTCTAAGCAGTATCACTGAAGGAAGGAGAGGTGGTTGAATGGTGCCTCTGCCTTGAGAGCATTTCTCTCTAATGCCTTATTCTCTTCACAGAGCGCTAGCATCAGGGAGACCCTGTGAGCAAAAGAGCCACGTGTGAGCATGGAAAGCCCTGGGGCTACCAGGGGAAGGTGGAGACAGCATGTTTGACACTTGCATGGACAGCCTGAAGAATTGTACACACACACAGAGAGAGAGAGAATTCCTCTTCCTATCTCCCTCTTCTGCATGACAAGGGAAGCAAGATCTGCTTTTATTAAATGCTCTTGATTCCTGGTTTGTTTATTATTGTTGTTATGCTGGTGCTCTTTGGTAGGTGAGATGGCTCTTCTGGGCGGGATGTCTCATCAGTTGCCTAGACAAGCAGAAGGATGGTGAGGCGCTGGAGCTGTGCCACCTGTGCCTCAGCACACCCTTCAGCACGCTCCAGTGTAAGGCTTTTTAAACTGCAGGGACAGCTCCCCTGCAGTATCTAGAAAACACAGGCGAGTAGGTGGGTGTGTTGCTGTGACAGGCGACTGCTGTTTCCTCCTTCTCTCAATGCCCCATTGCAGAAGAGAGGCTGAGGCAACACCCGGCTTCGCGAAAGAGGTGGGAAGAGCCCCATGCTAGGGCGCATAGATAGGTGTGTGCATATGTATTTCTAAGCCCCACCCCTCTGGGAAAACCTGAAGTCCGAGAAGAGGAAGGAAGGGCCATGGGCTGTGAAGAGAGCCCACAGATGGGGGTGGGTAGAAGGGATTGTCTGGGGTGTAACTAAAACTATGGTTTAACGTTTGCCTCCCTGCTCTGGAGCAGCCTTCCCCAATAGAATGCTGTCCATGTTTTGGATGACAACTCTCATCAGTCCCAGCCAGCACAGCACAGGGAAAGGGCCTAGGGTCTATGTGCAGATGGGCTCAGGTTCAAGCTTTAGCATCCACAAGTAGGATTGGGAGAACTTCCTGCCTGAAACACTGGAGAGCTGCTGCTAATTGGTGCAGACAGTACTGAGCTAGATGGACCAATTTTCTGCAAGTGGGATCTCTATGTTTCTCTGGTCTCTTTCCTCCAAACATGGTTCTGCTCATGCCCCCCCCCCGTACACCACCATGTGCACAGACCCATTGTTTGCCATTCTACTGCCATGCAGAAAGAAGTGGTGGCTCAGGATCTCTTCTGGTTAAAGGTCTGCTGCACATGCTGCCTCAAGTTGTGGACCCCATTCCTCACCCTCATTCTCCTTCTGTGCCCAGTCCAGGCTTGCCTCATGCCCACGTCCAAGATCCAAGCTCATGCATGTGTGGTAGTGTTTGTGCCGCAGTCCAATGCTTGTGGCCCATTTCATTCATGGAGAGGCTGCTCTGAAAGGCTTTTTTTTTTTTTACTTGCGCAGCCGCAGCCCGGCAGCGTTTGGCACATATACAAAGAGAAAGAGAGGACAAAACAAAGAAAAACGAGAGTGCAAGGTTTCTGTGGTGACAACAGTGGCGATTGGTGACAGAAACATGCAGTTTCTCCATGAAGGAGAGGCTTTTCTGAGCTGTGCTGGACCCTCCCTTGCCCCCATCCTGAAACAGATGGTGAATCCTCCCTGCTCCTGTCCCCTTAAAGATGGAAACACTGAGAGACTCACAGACCCACCTCCCACACGATAGATAACAAGGAGACAAGCTCCAAATGTGGGGGCCACCACACTTTGACAGGGTCCTGTGCAGGGGGACACTCCCACCCCAGTTCTTTGAGGCTAGGTAGGGTAAAAAAGGGTGACAGCCATCCCCAGGCATGGGCCTGAAGGGAAAGATACGAAGACTGCAGGACCCTGCCCCCCAACCCCGGGTCCAGCAGAGCTCTTCAGGCCCAACTCTTTGTCAATAATAAATTAATACAAATAACTGCGACAAGAATATGTACATGGATGTTCCCCCCAGTCCCAGTCCCCTGACTACCCTGACCCTCACTCCAAAATGAGGAACAGGGGGAAGGGGAAGTAGGAGGGGGGTATCGAAAAGGCTCATTGCCTGGATACCAGCCGAATACTCCATACTTGCTCCAGCTCCACCTCACACACGCTCACACACTCACACTTGCACACTTCAACAGTTAGACAGCCCAGCCCAGGTGGCCCAGATGCCCACCCCTCCCTCCTCCCTTCCCTCCTTGAGTTGCCCATTCAAACAGTATGCCAGGCACTGGTATGGGCAAGGGGCCCGGGGCCCAGAGGACCCCATTTCCCTGAGCTGGCTGCCCCAGCCAGACTAGAGTGAACTGAGTCAAATCCTACCACTTGTGCCCTGAAATAGTCCTTGCGGGGGTCAGTTCAGGCAAAGACAAAGCTCCAGGACAAGGAGTGGGTCCATCGTGTGGCAAGACAACAGCACAGGAACATCCCGTTGGCCCCTCCATCTATGAGTCACTCCAACAGTGGTGGGTGGGGAATGTTGACAGTTCCTTGTCATTTTCATGCAGGCGATTGGCTCTTTCCTTTCCACCCTTCACTGCATTCCGCAGTCCTGGCTCGGGTGGGTTAGCAACCAGGTCTCTCTTCAGCCCTTTGCCCCAAGCACCTGCTCATGTACGCTTTCCTTGCCCCTTGTTGCAGGGCAGCTTAGCTGGAGCCAGAGTTGCACTGGGGAGAATTCCGCATATCCTTGCAGTGTGAGAGAAACTGGGCTACAACTGCATGTCCAGGCCAGGTCTACGAATGCCAGCAAAGAGTATCTGCAAGTCCTCACGGGAACACAGGCGCTAGGCTAAGCCCACACGGCCTGACCTGTGTGACCATGCGAGGGCAGCGTCCTTGTGACCTGGCGGGAGGTGCTGCACTATACCCGCATTGCAGGGCCAGAGCCCGTTGTCAGGGGCACGGTGGAGCCACAGTCATAGTCAATGTCAATGGCGGCATGAGCGTTGGCCAGGAGGCTGTTGAGAGAGGATCCCGTCTGCCGCTCCCGGAAGCTCTGTATGTAGCTCTACAAGGAGGAGGAAAGCAGAAGATGAGGGTGCTGCCTCCATCCCCCATCTGTGATTGAAACTTCCCTGTGTGGAAGGACTTGCCTGTGACTTGCTCCTGAGTGCTTTGGGCAGGTCCACCTCAATTCCTGGGACAAGGCCCTTCCTAATGGCTGCCACACCACCCTCTCCTTGCAAGTAACCAAGAACCAGCTGTTCTTCCACACAATGCCTTGAGATGTAATAGGATTTATTTTCTCCCACATCTACTGGAAAGGGCTCATAGTGCTTCCTGGGGTAGGGGTAGGAGGAGCTTCTGGTCCTGCTGGAAATGACTGGTAGGGAGGCTGAGGTTTGCCTCTCTGTGCTGTGATCAGAAAAACTGAGGGCTGCAGTGAGGTGTGAACAGTAAAAGTGTGAACAGCAGATGTGCATTATTAGACAGATAATCTGCATATGTCCAGAAGCCACAGACAGCCATTCAATATTCTATGCTGCCTGTCCATAACAGTTTAAGAATGCGTGTCTGCCATTCACTCGTTCCATATTGGCCATACTGGGGCACTGCCAGAGCCCTGTTACCTTGCAATTTTGAACAGATCACAATACCTTAGTTTTCTACAAAGCTCAACACCCTAGTACAGGGATGGTGCCACAACAGAGCACAGCTTGTCCCAGGCTATTTGTACTTGGGAAGACTTTGGGAATGAATTGATGAGAGACTTACTGGATGTATGCATTGGCTGGCATACTTAAGCATGCTCACTTTCATTTAAAGATCACCCTGTTCTTCTGCTATGTCATGAGGAAGTCACTGCCTTTCCCCCGCATAAATTAGCAAAGCTCCCCAAGGACCACCTGACAACACTATTTGTACTAGGCAGAGAAACCTCCATGGGTTGAGGAGAACTTCCAGAGACACACGAAGAAAATGTTAAGAGACACAGAGCTCTGCTTTTGGATCCCAACTGAAACTGCCAAATGTAGAGCAAAAAGCAGAACTTGGACAAAGTTTCTCTACCCATCTTCCCTCCATTTATGTTATGCCATGGTGTTCTTGTCTCGCACTGGGCTTCCTGCATATAGAGGCATCAATGGGGGTGGGAGTGGCCAACAGTGCTAGGAGTCCCACCGAACTGGTTCCCTGCTCCTCTCTCTATGGGAATTCCATACAGATAGTCCGTATGAATGGAGTGTGGGAAGCAAAGGGTGCAGAAGCCAGAGACACTTCTGTCCTATACAGATGGGTTTCTGAATGTGGAAAGCATGACTGACAGGGCTGGCTCTTAAGGCGGAAGTGTGTCACTGATGATCCAAAAGCAAAGGAAACAAAGCAGGAAAGCCTGGAGGAACAGAACTGGGAGCAAGTTGACTCCCATCAGTCTCTACCCCTAGGGAGCTGGATTCTTTGCAGTGTAATACATACAATCCCACCACCCTAGCCCTGTGCAGGAGGGCACTGGCATTGACTCACTGGGGAGAGCACATCCCCATCAAATCGGCGCACAGGATTAGGCTTGCGACGGTAGGCAGGCTCCGGTGGGTGGGCCTTGTGTTGCACATGGGGATGGGGGTGTGGCCGCCTCTTCTTCTTCTTCTCCTTGCGCTCTTCTCGTTGCTTGATCCGCATCAGCTGAACACGGCGCTGCTGCCGACTGATAATCACTGTGGGGGGGAGGGAGGGGCAGGAGAGAGAAGAGAAGGGGGTGTGGTCAGAAGGGGTGGCCCAAGGTACCAAGCAGATGCCACTACTGGAATGCTTTGCTGTGGGATGAAGTGAAAGCCAAAAGCAGAGTTGGGATACCACCTCCCATAACCAGGTAAATTCATAATTGGCAGAGCCAACATGAAGTATTAGGTGTGGTGACTGGGGAATGCACCTGTAGCCTCAAGGTGCAAAGTTCCAAACCATTTTTATTCCAGGAAGCTGCCACTGAGATAAATGAGGTGCCAGCACATATAGCAGCATTTGCTACCTAAGGGAACTAGCCTCCTTTCACTACAGCAGGAATCTCAAGGTGGCTGAGCATGATTCATGCTTTTCATACAAGGCATCACCTGCTAACAGGCTTGTTGCAACTACTGCATATCTGTTTGGATGCAATATGTAGTTTAGCCCTCAGAGAAAAGGGGTACCCTCTGTATGTACCCTCTGTAACTCAGAATAAGAGTTCAAAGCATTAATTGGTTAATTTCTGCTAAATTCTTAACAACAGATTAAAAATAATCCTCAATTTAATTGTTAGGGGGCAGACTTGTGTGTCTTCTCCCCTCTCCCTCAGCCAAATTTGTGGAAAAGGGAACTTCAAGATGGCTCCCAGTTTATAACCACAGCTGGGGCACAGCCTGTCTTCCTGGCTGAAATCACTAAGATTTTCCTTCCGGGAATAAGAACCACAGGCAAGTGAAGATGACAGTTCAAATTTTACACCAATGTCCACCCCCCTTCCTACCCACCCTGCTGCACCGGACTCACCTTCCGTGTGGGAATATCCCTCTGCCGTGACTTTCCACTGCACCAGGACGCCCAACAGTGCCAGGACTGGCCAAGTGCCCAAGATGACCCAGCTGTACCAGCAGATGGGCCGGGCGGGAGCTACCTTGACGCGCTCGTAGACGTACTGCAGCAGCAGGAAGAGCTCGACAAAGTAGTCGGCGGTGGCGGTCATGACGGCACTGCCGAAGACAGCGGTGGAGAGCGTGGTGAAGAGGCGCTGCCACTGCAAGGTGAGCACCGCACACAGCATGCCCATGCCGAGCAGCAAACCGATGGGGATCCAGACGGTAGGCGGGTGGTAGAACTGCTCCATCACCACCAGCGCTGCCACCGCCAGCAGCAGCCCCAGCAGCAGCCCGACCATGAAGAGCCCAACGCTGCGCACAAGCATGGTCACCAGCCCACAGAGCAGCCCGATGCCCAGCCCGATGCCCACAGAGGCCTCAACGCTCAGCTGGGTGTCCAGCACCCGCTCTTTGTAGCACAGCATGAAGATGATCACGGAGCCAAACATCAGTCCTGTCAGGAACATCACCGCCTTGAAGCATCGGTACCCTGAGGAAAGGAAGAAATGGATGCTAGCGGCTGTTGCTGCAGTCAGGAACACAGGTCGGGTTGCCCATCTGTTTGGTTGAGCAGGACAGGCTATCCACATTCCTTTGAGCCACCTGCACTGAAAATCCTGGCCTCTGACTTAGGAGGCTCATGCAGAATACCTACGCAATGTCCCACACTTACACACACAGAAAGATATTCTGTACTTACCGGTATATCACAAAGGCTGGGGAGTCCTAATATCCAGGGCTTCAAAGAGCCTGCTGCCTTACATGAGCATTCACCACACTCCCAACTGATCTGTGTAATGCATAAGTGGATGCACAGCAGTGTCTCAGGGAAAGCCAGTGCTAGCTTTTTCTCCTGGGATGCTGATGCGGTTAGCAAAGGAGCCCCGTTATGCAGCCTGGAAAACCAATACTAGTTCCTTTAAGTCACATGGACTGGCAAGGACCCATACAGGCTAAAGCACCCACTTGGGTGTCTTCTGTAGAATCAAAAGCATTAACACAGCTCTCTGCTGTTGGAACAGCTTGGAATTACATTAGGTTTATTTATTTTTTCCATATCAAACTGTTAGCATATTGCATATCAAAATTATAATGATTAAAATACAAATCAACCCCCTCCCTTGTTTAGTGCATTAGGTGTTGAACAGGGAGGGCTAATAGAGCAAGCTAGCAGGAGGCTACAAAAACTGGGAACCTGCCTTTTCCATCTCCCTAGCAGCCTCATCCTAAACATGCATATTCAAAAATGCCCCCCATAGTTTTGAGTGCAAGCTCAACGGATTATTGCGGAGCGTGAGTCCCACTTCACGCTGTTGCAGACATACTGTGACACAGGGCTGGCTTTGAGTGGAATGGGCTCCCTGGGCCTCATAAGAGCATTGAGTTCATTGATCTCCTTTGCCCCCATGCCTCAGCTCAAACTGTCCTCCAGGCACCTAGGACAGCACACCGACCCACCCAAACCCTTTCTCACCAAAGAAGCAGTAGATGATCCCAAAGAGGCAGCACATGGCGCAGACCACCGAGGGTACCACTTGGTAGCGCCGCTCAATCTCCTCCTCACAGCTGTATGTCCGGTCTTGGTTTGGCACGTGCGGCAGCAGCGGGAAACGCAGGGTCTGTACCGTTGACGTCATGGCTCTTCAGGGTCTCCTGGGGCAATGTCAGGCTCCCCACTCCCTCCCCGTCACCTGCGGGGGATGCTGTCTCATGGCATTGCTTCCATCTGTGGAGTGAGAGAGAGAGAGAGAGATTGAGGGCGGATGGGACAAAAAAGGTGAGCACTCTGCAGGGCTGTTCCACTCATTAAGAAACAACTCCCACTTTTCTGGAGGCTGCAATGAGGGTTTTAAAAAAAGTGACGAGATTAGAGATGGGAACACCCACTAACTCCCTGGGCCCCAAGCCAAGTCCAACTAGTCATTCCTGGCAAGGAAAAAGATGGTTTGAGTGTTGGCAATATATTATGCAAGGGGCAAAGCAGGCCAAGCATCCTAGTTGGGCCTCTAGGATTCCCGTTGATCTTTCTCCACCTCTGTCCCAGGAGTACCAATCTCACTGAGTCACCCCAGCCTCAGCCTGCCAGGGAGCTTAGCAGCATATTCCATGTTGGAATGGAATCAGAGCAATGCTGGGAGGAAGAGGAGGGCGCTGAGCAAGGGATGGGACAACAACAACTTTCCAAAATGCAAAAGCGGGGCGGCGGGGAGCGTGGGGAATGTGGCTATAAAGAGAATCGCCACCGTATGGTCTCCACGGCAACCGAGCAAAGAACAGATGATACTTTTAGCAACGCACATGCTCCCCCACTTCCAACACTCACCCCCACCCCACCCCACCTTCTTCCTCAAAGAACCTGTGGGGTAGGAGAATGAGTCACCAAAGAGGGAGATGTAGCAGTTCGGGAAAAGCATCTGCCAGAGATTTGAGTTTCATTAACCCTGTGTGCGGGATGGCTGGCTGGCTGAGAGCAGCTCTGAAGACAAAGGAGGACTGGTTAGTCGGCTGAAGCATCTTCCTTCTTCTTTACCTCTGATGTTCAGCCTTGGAAAGCAGCTGCAAATGCGGATTAGAGAGTCCCTGAGTGCTGTTGTAGGCTAGTGCACTGTCCGCACCCCAACCCCTCCCCATTTCCTCATTTCTGGTGGATTGCAGGCTGGAAGGCACAACAGAGAAAAGCCTTTTGTGTTAGTTCTCCCTTGCTCACACATGCTCAGATCCGTCCAGCACTCCCCACTACAGCAGCCCCCAAGTAAGAAAGGACAGGACACTCTAATGATGCAACTGGGGTTTGGGGGGAGTGTTTCTGAACCCACTTCCAGACAGGTGAGGTTTTTGGAAGCATTGTAGCTAATGTTTAGGGAAGTTTTTAATTTTTAATGCTGTACTGTATTGTTTTTAACACTCGATTGGGAGCCGCCCAGAGTGGCTGGGGAAACTCAGCCAGATGAGATGGGCGGGGTATAAATTATTATTATTATTATTATTATTATTATTATTATTATTATTATTATTATTATTATTATTATTATTATTATTGTCCCCTTTCACAGAAGAACCGTGTTTTCAGGGTAGGAGCTCAGTGGCATGGGGATGGGTGAGGAGACTTTAAGAAAGCGTGGCTGGAGACATGTTGCCCACAAGCAGGTCAGGAGCCTGGGAAATCTCATCCCAACGTGCGCGCGTCCCCCTCCCCGCCGCCTCTGTCTGTCTGCATGTCTGTCTGTCTGCCATTCCCCCCTCCCCGCTGACGCCAGCACCAATGGCCGCTAGTACTGAAAGCATGCTGCCTACGGATTGGTGCACTCTCTGTTGCTAAGGAAAACAAGTCATTTTCCCATTGGATGCTGAGAAATTACCAAACGCCGGCCTTCTCCTCGGCTATATCTTTTTCGCTTTGTTTCAGCAACTCGGCTTTTTCCTCACGAAGCCCCGCCCGCTCTTGGAGTGTGGCTTTACTTCTCTCTCACGCCCCCCCCCGATTCTCTTCAGTTTTTATCCCACCTGCAACCCCCCTCCCCCCAAAAAAGCCGTGTGCCAATGGCCCTTATTCCAAATATGTGTCCTCCCTGCTGGCTCCCCAGACACTTGATAGCCCTCAAACATCCCCTGAAACCCCCACATTACAATTGGCAGAGATAAAAAGGGGCTATCATGCACACACTATTAGTGCAACCACAGACACAACTTGTGTCACAGAAGGACAGAACAGCTCATCCTAGTGCCACTTGCTTCCCACTCCCAAGTGGCTCCTGGCTTGGCAGGAGCTGGTGACCCTTGTGACATGGAAAGGCCTGCCATCAAGTTTGGGAGCTACAGATCCAGAAAAAGCACTGCCTGAGGAGGACTGTGCTAACCCAGTTCTTATTCTTAGAAGGATCTAAGGTTTACTTTCATTCAAACAACAACAACATATAGAATATTTGATGTCAGCAAGTAAATCTTCTAGGTATGTGGGTTACACCGAGAACGGCTGACACTAAGAACTTTGGACTTTCCCCCTCCACAGCTCAACACACAAAGAAAAAGCAACTTCAATTTCTGTTGTCACCTCAAGTCAAAGCTGCCCACTGTATGGAGAACGTAGTCAGTCATTTGCCAATGGAAGCTTTACTGCGGTAGGCATGTAACCATTTGACAAGCTGGTCATCCATAACATCCTGCCATAGGCTTCAAAAGGTTATTAGACAGGTCCATGGAGGATATCAGTAGCTTCTGACTTCATGTTGTGTCTCCAGTGTCGGAGACAATATGCCTTTGAATCCCAGTCACTGGGAATCGCAAGTGGGGAAGGTACTATTGCACCCAGCTCCTGTTTGTGGACTTTCCATGGGCATCTGATCAGCCACTGTGAAAACAGGATGCTAGACGAGATGGGCCACTGACCTGATCCAGCAGGACTCTTCTTATGTTCTTATGCTATCAATGAAGACAATTCCCCCCACATCCATTCCCTGTCAGAAATCTAGGGAAGCAATTGGAATAATGGACCCTCCTCACCACCTGGTAGAAGATCACAGATGACTGTCAAGGTATATGTTACATGGCCATCTGTATTCCCCCTGTATCATCACTATCTGGTTGATCATCGCCTCATGATCTGCACATCAGTGAATCATGTCACACAGTATTCAGACAAGCTGGATCAAGAGATGCAAAGTAAGTACCGTATACCATTCACAGAGAAGTGATAATCAAAACTAACAGAAAGTTGCTTTCCCACTTGTCTCTGCAGAAAACAGAGGGCTGCCTGACAGCAGTAAAATGGGCAAAATTAAGGCAGGCTCTTAACAAATGCAGAGTTAATAGCCACACATTGGGATTTCAATTAGAGGTGTGCTGGGCTCATTCCCAACATCTTCAGAATACCAGGTGCCATGTAGGATTTTCCATCAAGTAACATCAGTGGGAAACTGACTGATCTGGAGGGGGGTTGATATACACCCACCCGCCATACAATCAGGAATGGTCCATGATAAACATTGTAACTGAGCCAGGTAATCCAGGCATCCTGGGTGGAGTAATACCCACAACTGTGGCCAATGTAGTTCCTCCTGCAAGCTTCTGTAGTCTATGTCATTAAAAACAGCTTCTAAATATAATTGAAAATGTAAGACCATAAGACATATGGCGGATTAAACCAAAGCTCCATCTACAGTATCCCAGCATCCTGTGGCCAGCCAATGACTCTTAGAAGCCCCAAAGCAGAACTGGAGGGCAACAGCCCTTTCCTGTTGTTTATTCCTAGCATTTAAGAATGTAAGAGCAGTCCTGCTGGATCAGACCATAGGCCCATCAAGTCCAGCATCTAGATACCCCAGGGAAGCCTGCAAGCAATACCTGAGTACTGAACATGTAAGGTGGTTTGGGGAAAGTGGGAGCAAAATGCTTGGTCCGTGTATGTAGTTTATGCCAGGATCTCTTGTTGAACACTTTGCTCCTGGATTGGAATTCTGGTCCACTCTAATGAGTGTTTACTTAGAAATCCCATTTAATTCAAGTAAGTGCACATGGGATGGCAACTTTAAAATCAATAAAGTATTGCCACCATGTGGGTCTCAGAGCAAAAAATTGCTACTAAATGCAAAGTAGAATCATAGAATTGTAGAGCTAGAAAGGGATTCCTGAGAATCATCTAGTCCAATTCTAACCAACTTTTTGTTGGTATAGCAATATGCAAGATGTTTAACTAGTCATATCTGTATAACATATAAGCTTGCATAGTTGAACCTTGGTGAACCTCAAAAGCCTCCACATTTCTACCATAACAAGATTCAATCAAAGGAAATCACTCACCTAGTTTATATCTCTGAAAATCACACAGATCCATGGAGCTGACACAAACAAACTGTCATGCTCTTGTTCCCAAACAGCAACATTTGGCATCATGCCAACAACTATCTGCCAAAATCATTCCAAACCTAAATGTGGAAAATCCAGCCCTTAACAGTTTATCTCTAGACAAGCTCCAATTTGTTTTTCTCTGTGGCACAGTCTTTCCAGCTCTCTCCCCCCCACTCCGCACCAAATCCCTGCCAGTTATTCTAATCTCCCTCTTTCCACGTGGTCCTGTTGCCTAGGGAGGAAGAAAGGCCAATGCAGTTCACAGCTAGCTAATGCCTGCTATGGGCCCAGAGGTAGCTCTGATACAGACACAGATACCTGTTCTGTAAGGAGGGGCTCTCAGTCTGTAAACCCTGTTAAGAAGTGTGTATCTGAACAAACAAGGTTCTGTCCAGGCTGGCACCAGGTACCACAGCCTGTGACCTTTCCTCTCCTCTGTGGGAGCAGGGAAACTCAAACCTTGATACTTTTTAGTGTTTAATATATTTGAGTGTTGCTCCCCACCCCCAAGGCAGCTAGAGGAGAATCATGACCCTGCTATGGATTCCAGGCCAACTGGCTCAACTGCAGTCCAGGAATTGGATGAATCCTCTTCCACAGCGATTGAGGACAAGAGTGCCCACTTTCCCACAGGCTCTCTTCACGTGTGCCTACACAACCTTTTCGCCCTCAACTAGAGCAAGGAGACTGACCTTTTCATACAAATGTAATCTTAATTATTTCATAGGGAAGAGGAATAGGGAGGCAGAGGAACTTTATTTATACCACTTCCTGGAAACCTGATTGGAGTATGTCTGGGATAGTCCTGGAAACCAGGCCACTCCACAAAGGAGCTGTGCCCAATACTGCAATCCTAGGTTCTCTCAGCAAGGGAGGTGATAAGAAAAGGTTGTGACAATGTAGATTCTGCATGTGAAGTTTTAGGAAAGAAAGACTGGTCTATACCAACAGAAGACACTATGAGGAGGGCATGTTGTGGATTCTTACTTAGTAGGAGTGGGGTAAGGATAGTTGTGGAAGGACTAGGAAGACACTGCCTCACCTTTTGCTGCAGGATGCAGAAACATGAATAACCAAGCTGTTCCTATTTTAGGGGGAAATGCCAAGGCACAATGTTATGCCAGGAACTTTTCTTCTGGGCTAGGGTTAGGCACACCTACTCTGATAGGATCTGTGTGCAATATGGAAGGGAATCCTTGGCGCCTTATCCTCTTCCTGCCACTGGGATTACTGTGACAGCTTGCTGAAAAGCTCCTAATGAGAGAATCCTATTAACCTGGGAGTAACCCAGGGGAGTGGCAGTACTTTGAGGCGTATCTGCAAGACAGGGCCCTGTCCTGCAGGTACTCCTAGTTGCACTAACTGCACTATAAGGAAACACTGTGCAGAGTTTTCACAGAGGTGGCAATAAGGTATTTATATTATGTTCTAGGACGGATTTATTTAAAAAAAATGATTTAGTAACACTTGTATCGGAAAGCACCCAAATCAACCACACTTGGTACAAAAGTCATCACACACATATAAACACACACTACCCAGAGCCTGTGGCCTGCACCTAAGAATTTTTTACTCCAGAGAAGGACTAGCTCAGGATCTTCCTGTCTATGCTTCCTCTCAGTGGCCGACTGGAGGGCCCTAGCATAGGATAGCTGTTTTGTGCCTGTAGCTAGTGTGTCTGAAGGATATCAAACATGGGGCAGGTTCAAAGGAGAAATTCACTTTACCGGGGCATAGCCAGGTTGCAAGAACCTGATGCTTTCCTGTTCCATGCCAATCTCACATGACCATACCATAGCCTCTCTTCACATTGCCTGGCTCTATGCAGTGCCAGCCCTCTACTGCAATCTGGTTGACAGACTCTATCCCATTCCATAGCAAGACACGCTGACCTTTTCTATTCCCAAGCACAAAGCTTGCCCATCCAACCTTGGACTTGCAGGTGTTTCTGGAAAGGGTTCCTTATTTTGTTTTGCAAGTACTGAGTATGATGAAAACACCCAATCCCTATGTTGACTGCTATCAATTCAAATGGAAAGCAGGACTGGAAAATGTGATGCTGCGGTGATAGCTCTAAATTAGCCACACTCATACCCCTCTCTAGGAAGCACAACTTTTCTGAAGTAGTTCCTGTGTTGGCATTATGGTGGCTGGTGTAGATTAGCTCCACCAGCTTGCATTCCATCTCTCTCCTCTGCCTGCCTGACATATACCTGGCTTTGTCCATCCATTTACACCTCATCCTGCTCCATCTACTTATCAGCTTGTTCCTGCCACTAGTACAAGCTGGACCAGGTTTCATTCTTGTTTGGGACTGGCAGATCCCATAAGGGAAGCTGCAGAGTTGCTAGGATACAGAGCTGCAAAGACTTCTGGGGAGCCCGCCAGACTCCCTTTGTTTGGAAAGAGGGGGTCCCCAGGGGATCCTGGGCTGGTGGACCCATACATGCCTACAGATAGCTATCTTGACTTAGGATACAATGGTTCTCTTTTTGAAGCGGGAGTCATTGTTTCCATCCAGCCAATCGAGGATTTTGCTTTTGTTTCTTTTAAATTCAGCCTTTGTTGACATAGGTTTATGCTAATTAATAACTAGAAATAGAAGGCTGGGCTTTTATTGTTCTCCCTGCGGGGAATCACATCTAAGCAACACAAGCCAGAAGAAGTAGGGGCTTCAGGCAGACACACTTTTTGGAACTACCCTTCCATCGGGGTGAGGGAAGGCTGATAATCCCTGAGCCTGGCTAAAGTGTGACGTGTGGCTCACCGCAGCCCTGGACGAGCGAAGCCTGTTGGGTATGTGTGGGGGACAGTCTGGAATAGCACCCGTCCGCTACCCGCTTCATGCGCATCTCTCCCCTCCCTCGGCGGCCTTCAGGGCTGCTTTAGCATGGCTGCGCGGGTGACGGGCGTCCACGTGAACTCAACCCCGCTGCCTCTCCAACTTCTTCCCACTGCCTGCTGCCTCCGGGCAGGAGAGACAGCGAGGCACGGCCATCCACGGCTTTCCTCTCGCTGGCATTTACCCAGCGCTGCCGAGGCGCCCAGCTCTCTCTTTGTGCGCTTCCCAGTCATTCAGCGCCGCCTTTTTTTCTTTCCTTCTCCAACAATCCCGTTCATTTAATGCTCCGCGATCGAGCCCTCCTTCCCATTTCCCAGCCCAGCGGCGGTGGCGGCGACCGTCCCTCTCTCCCTCTTCCCTCCGTCTCCCTTTCTCCTCCGGCAAGGGGCGCTGCAAAGGAGGAGCAGCAGACCCAGCCAGCAACCCTCTCCCTCTCCTCTTCCCCGCGGCGGTTCCCCCCCTACCTGCGCGGCCCGGCCTCGAACCGGCCCGCCAGAGCCCGCCCGGCTCGGCCCGGTGCTGAGGGACAGCTCCGCGTGACGTCAGCGCCCAGGTCCTCTCCCTCGGCCGCCCCCCTCCTCCGCCGCTCCTCGCGCGCACGGCGGCCGAGAAAGGCTGCCTGGAGCGGATGCAGCCAGGCGAGCGCCACGGACACAGCAAATAGGCTGCAGCTGCTGCCGCCGCCGCTGCTTCTTCCTTCCGTTCCCCTTCCAGCTCCTCCCTCGCCGTCCGCCCCCAAACCTCCTCATCCCCCGCGCCGCTTGGGGCCTGGAGCGCGCGGCGGTGGTAGCGGGGGCTCCGCACAGGCGAGCGTGTGTCACACAGGCACGCACACCCGCAGAGCCTCCTCCACGGGATCCTCTCCGCTCAAGGAGCACTTGTTAGGCATTCATCCCACCCCCCCTTCCAGTGCGTTGCGTCGGCGGGCCCTTGGCGCTTCCCTATTGTCATGGCACTGCATCAATCGCCGCCTTGGTGGATCTCTCTACCCCTCCCCCGCTCCCCGCCTCGCGCTCCGATTTTGGTTTCCTCCCCGCCCCCTGCGCTCCGCACTACCTGCGATCCTTACTATGTTGTACACCACCACTGTGCAATCCCGCTTGCCGGACAGCCTACGCTGGCTCCTTCGCCATATGGCACCTTGTGAGACTGTCCACTTCTGCCCCGCCCCCAACTGCATTGCTCCAGCTGCTTCGACGGTCTACCTCTGGCTGGATTGCAACTGTATTGTTTGCATCGCTCCCTGCTCCAGTGCAGTGCATTTCCCACCCCTGGTGTAATGTAAAAACAAAAACACTCCATTTAGGGGGGAAAAACTGTTTTGTTTTAGGTTTTTTTTTTTTTGTCTAGGAAAAGCTTTCTACTAGCAGAGACACACCATGTAAACAATGTTTCATGTGCTGAGACACCCCAGTCTCTGGGGTGAATGCAGCCCCACCACCTTGCAGTCTCTGCCTTGACGTGCCTCAGGACTGAGGCTCTCCTAAAGCCACACACCCTCATCAGCCCTGCTCTGTGCCCCCCTCCAGCATTATTGGTTTGAATGGGTAGTTGAACTCTGTCTGATAATGCCCCTTTGTGTGTGGTTCTACACTCGCTTGGTTGTTTGGAAGAGGAAAAGATGGGGGTCAGGTTGTGTAGAAACATCTCACATTTGCTTTTTCTGGAATGTACCCTGCTGAAGAAAGGTAAGAATCACTCCCACTGCGCCATCCACTTTTGTCTGTGGGCCTACATTCCTACCACCATGTGTGATTCCTTGACTTGGCTGTTCTTTCTGTTATTTGTTAAATTTGTATCCTGGAATTTGTCCCAAAGGAGCCCAGGGCAGCAAACACTTCAGTAATAACAATACAATTGAATACATTTTAAAACGGTTAAAAACACATAGAAAACGATAAAACACAATAAAACATTTGAAGCGAATTTAAGAACAGCTATAACCAAATGATGTGTCTGGATAGCTCTGCTAAAACAGAAAAGTTTTCAGCAGGTGTCCAAAGGAGCAGTGATGGCACTTCCTTAATGTTGATAGGCAGGGAGTTCCAAAGTACAGGTTGCTGCTGCAAATATCTATTACAATATATATATGCTATTGGACTACAACTCCCACCATCCTGACCACTAGTCTTGTAACTAGGAATGATGGGGGTTGTAGTCCAACAACATATGGGGACCTGTGGCTTAAACTGTTAATGTGGCCTGACCATATGCACAGAAATCTGTAGCTCTCATTGCCATGTGGTCCAGGAACTGCAGCTTCTCCGTGTCCACAACCATTGGGCTGGATTTTTATTTGCTGCCCCTTACATGTAGGACAGTAGCCAAATCAGTTGCGTTTGGATTACAGGAGGGATATGAGCTATGAGCTTGGCAGGGAAGCCAGATATCCCTGAACCCCAGAGGTCAGTCATTCCACTGGCTTAGGCATGTCATCGAAACTGCTCAAGGCTGAATCCCACTTACCATCTGCTGAGCTCCCTGTGTCATGAGAAGAAGGAGGAGGATGTGTGGGAATGATGATGAGGCACTGCTGCTCCTACTGCCATCTCCTCCCTTCCCACTCTCAGCCTTTAGCAGCTAAGACAGTTTAGATCCTCCTCTGCTGTGCCAGGTGATTAGCTCTGGCCTGTAGCCTAGAGAAACCTTTATTTAAAGGTCTTAGTAATATAGTCAAGCAGGAATGCATATGTATGCATATCCACCTCTAAAGGTTATGTGGTTGTATAAGACTTGGTGATGTCACCCATGTATTGTCAGCACATCAGAACGTTTTTTAAATTTATTTTTTATTGTCTGGGCATCAGAACCCTAATCCCAGTCGCTCTGGCCGGTAAAGCAGTCTTCTTAGCCTGTCACCAGCTTAACACTTATCTGGATGGGGATAAGCAGCTGATGCACCAAACCTTTCTTAGCCATATTCCTGCTGCCTTAAAGCACAAGGCCTACTGAGTTTCAGCTCAGACCAGCCTACCTCTTTGAAGTATATGGCACAAATCCAAGTGCAGTAAGCACCAAGTGTACATATATCAAAGGAATTTGGTTTTCTTGGGGGGGAGGATCAAGGGTAAATGGGCTGAGAGAGAGCCAATTAATAGCAAAGGAACAAACGCAGAATGCCATCTTTGCCCACCATAGCTGCAAAGTATACATCGTTACAACCACCCTGAAAATAAGCCCATAAAAGTTACCAGTCTGCAAAGGGTGGTCTGTTTACTTGCTAGTGAAGGTTGGCAGATGAAGGACAATGAGCTTGGTCCCTTCTCCAGCAACCTGCTGCATTTGTATGCTGCTCACAAAGATGCGGGGGGTGGGGTGGGTTTGCTTCTATCCCCATGCAGCAGCCCACTTGATTTCTCTCCTGGCATCAGAGAAGGGATGGGGTACCCCTTCTCCACCAGCCCAAACCTTTGCCTGCTTGCAGTTACTTGTTGCCTATGCCTCCCACACAACAGTTCAAATGCAAGGCTGAGTGTGAGTTCTAAAGCAAAACACCAGGCTTTTCACATTAAATCAGTTTTGTGAGTCTGAGAAAAATAATAAGACTGAATGAATATCAGACTCATAATTGTTTTTGGATTCTAATGAAACTTTAATATAATGTGCTTGAAGGTGTGTGTGTGTAAAAGAGAGGGTTTTTTTTGGGGGGGGGTTATCCCCAAGGCTATCCTTGGGTACAGATAGCCTTTGTGTGTCAGTGTGTGATAGTGCAATCCTATGCATGTTTACTCAGAAGTAAGTCCCACTACATCTAATGGAACTTACTCCCTAGTAAGTGTGTTTAAGATTGCAGACTGATTCATTAAAGATCTGGTACATGAAATGCTAGTGGTTTGAGGCTAATGCCAATTCTAGGGGTGGCACTGTTAAGATGATGTAGGAGGGGAATAAAAATAAGGTTTTTTATGTAGTCTGGCCAGCTGGAAATAACAGGGCTCCTGCACCTTATGTGGAAAAGGGAATTTCAGCAGGTGTTGCTTGTCATGCAATGTACACTTGATAGCATATTTTCTTCTGTGTGGCTGTTAAAGCTGCAGTAGCCCTGTGCCCTTTTCCATCTGGCAGTTCTAGTTTTGTGTTTCTTTCTTGTACATTTAAAGCATATCCAACCAGTGGCGTAGCGTGGGGGGTGCAGGGGGGCCCGGCCGCACCGGGCGCAACATCTGGGGGTTAGGGGGCGCAAATCCATGGGTTAGGGGGTGCAAATCCACAGGTTAGGGGGCGCAAATTACTTGCCCTGCCCCGGGTGCTGACAACCCACCCTACGCCACTGTATCCAACACATATTTAAAGGGCATGATTTCCCCCCAAAGAATCCTGGGAACTGTAGTTTGTAAAGTATGCTGGAAATTGTAACTTTGTGAGGGAAACTACAGCTCCCTGTTTCTTTGGGGGGTGCCATGCGATTTAAATGTCAGTTGGATATGCTCTAAATTAGAGCTTTCCAAAGTGTGTGTCATGACACGTTAGTGTGTTGTCTGCAGTGGTGGTGCGAATGCTTCCCGCACTCATCCCAGGACAGGCAAGGGGTTAGTTTAACCTCTGGTTTGCTAGTAAAACTGAATTACTGTGTCGTGAAATGATGCATGTCTAAAAAGTGTGTCACCAACATGAAATGCTTGGAAAGCTCTGCTCTAAGTGGATGGTGTGGATCTGCCTAAAGTTGTGCAATTTTGCAACACTTCTGAAAAATGATGTGGAAGGTACTTGGGTCACAGGTTCTGATACTAGGGTTTTATACGAAAAATGTAAAAGTAATACTGTAGATATATATTGTGTGTGCATGTTACATGGTTTTAGCTGATCTATGAGGCTCTGTAATTAAAAGCCAAGTTACTTTTAAGTAGGGTTTAGACATAAATGCAACAATAAATCAAGTTCAAAATTGGAGCTGAGAAGAGTGCCCTAGATGTCACAACACTGAATATATTCATTAATGGCTAGATAAAATAAATAAAGATACTTTGCAGCTAAACTTTCAGGTGATACAACAGGAACAGCTGTAAATGAGGTGAAGAATTAGTTTTTAATCAAAAGTAATTAATGGATTAATGCATGAATAATTTTGAGCTTTGTAATGACCATGATAACAATTTTACAAAGCTAAAAATAAGGCACTGTGCATTGGTAAGAAAAACACTAAAATGAGAATGCTAGATAGCTTGATCCTATCTACCTTGGCTCAACAAAATCATTTTACCCACAGGCCATATTATTTTCTTCTGCAGCTGAGTTCATTTTCAAAACAAGCTGCAAGTGAGTCAAATTAAGTGCATCAGATTTAGGCTAATGAAATTAGTTTCCTGACGAGTACAAGCTGTGGGATCGCCTTCCTTGGAAGTTGTTTCTTAAATGACGGGCCCCTTCAGGCATCATTTTTATTAAGCATTCATCATTATTTATGCTCGTGATCTTCGGTGGTGATTACACACAATCATGCTTTCATAACAATTTGTGCCTGCAAAATGTTTTGGGCATCATGTAGTTTCCTGCTAAAATCCTGTAACTTTTCATGCCCCAAAGTGTGCCACAAATGATGCCTCCTGTCACTATTTTGTGGGTGGGACACAAGTGTATGCTTGAACTTTAGATTTGCTGGTCCATTGAAGGGCTCCATCATTTGCTTAGCCAGGATTTATTTTAGGGCGACAGGCTTTATGTTGGTGGGGGGCAGAACAGAGTTATCTGCCATGCAATTGGTCAGTTAAGTATTTTTATTTATTTACTTGATTTAAGGGGGCAGCTGCCACCCACCCATGGGCTCCATTGCCCTAGTGGAACAAATCCATTTAAAAAAAAGAATTAGACTTTTTGCAGTTTGGAAGGTGACATGGAAATGCACCGAAAAGAGGGTAATGGCTACCAAGAAGGGGTATAAAAACTCTACAAGCAAATCAGGATAAATGCTAAATAAACAGGTTGTCTGGAGGGCCCACAGTATGTGAAATGGCTTCCTCAACGTAGAAGGTCTGATCTATACATACAGCAGAATATGGTAGTAAAGACCTGTTGTGAGATGATGTAAACAAAGCCGGGCCTAAGATTAGGCAAACTAAGGTGAACAGCTGGGGCTGGGCAGGGGGCAACAATGGCAGCTCCCTGGCTGTTCCTCTCAGGTCTCCCATCTATTTCCCTTTGTTGGATGACAGATGCTTCAGTACTACCCCTCCTGTCCTCTCTAAACTGGCTTAGGTACAGCAGAGGACCTCATCCCTAGTTGTTGAAGTAAGACTCTGCTGCCAGGCTTGCATGCTTCCGTGTGGGCAGCAGGCACCATTTTGCCTTTCACTGACCCGGAAATGAAAATATATTAGGTTGCATTTGAATCCTGCCCCATATGCAAATAAACTCCCATCTGTAGAATGTAACTAGTAGGCCTGATCAATTCATCTGTCTCCTGAGAAATCTCTATGTGGGACAAGAAGCTACAGTTAGAACTGGATATGGAACAACTGATTGGTTCAAAATTGGGAAAGGAGTACGGCAAGGCTGTATATTGTCTCCCTGCTTATTTAACTTATATGCAGAATTCATCATGCGAAAGGCTGGGCTGGATGAATCCCTAGCCGGAATTAAGATTGCCGGAAGAAATATCAACAACCTCAGATATGCAGATGACACAACCTTGATGGCAGAAAGTGAGGAGGAATTAAAGAACCTTTTAATGAGGGTGAAAGATGAGAGTGCAAAATATGGTCTGAAGCTCCATCACCTCCTGGCAAATAGAAGGGGAAGAAATGGAGGCAGTGAGAGATTTTACTTTCTTGGGTTCCATGATCACTGCAGATGGTGACAGCAGTCACGAAATTAAAAGACGCCTGCTTCTTGGGAGAAAAGCAATGACAAACCTAGACAGTGTCTTAAAAAACAGAGCCATCATCTTGCCAACAAAGGTCCGTATAGTTAAAGCTATGGTTTTCCCAGTAGTGATGTATGGAAGTGAGAGCTGGACCACAAGTAAGGCTCATCGCCAAAGTATTGATGCTTTTGAATTGTGGTGCTGGAGGAGACTCTTGAGAGTCCCATGGACTGCAAGAAGATCAAACCTATCCATTCTTAAGGAAATCAGCCCTGAGTGCTTACTGGAAGGACAGATCCTGAAGCTGAGGCTCCAATACTTTGGCCACCTCATGAGAAGAGAAGACTCCATAGAAAAGACCCTGATGTTGGGAAAGATGGAGGGCACAAGGAGAAGGGGACGACAGAGGACGAGATGGTTGGACAGTGTTCTCGAAGCTACCAACATGAGTTTGACCAAACTGCGGGAGGCAGTGGAAGACAGGAGTGCCTGGCGTGCTCTGGTCCATGGGGTCACGAAGAGTTGGACACGACTAAACAACAACAGTAGGCTGCAACCCCTGTAACTAGCACAAAAGGTGCCTCCCTACTCCAGTAGTTTTCTGCTTGCATGGGGCCTGATTTTGTGTGCTATGCTGTGCTATTTTGCACCTTCAAAAATGGATAATGTGGAAAAAATGAAAAACACAAAACTTGAAACTGTTAAATTTATTTTAAATTGCAATAATAATACAACAACGTTTCATCATTTTTTCTCAAATACCAGAAGAAAATGTTTTGGCACACAAATCATTTTGAACAATCTTGTGAAGAGCGATGTTAAATTTTAAGTCTCTTAAAAGTTTCAGTCTCGGGCACATCAAAATCTCACTCCTTTGCCAATTTTGCCACCAAATCCTTCAGGTCAAGTGATGCTTGGGCATGCTCAGTTGATATGGTTGCCAAGCCAACAGGTCTCTTTTGCAAACACTGTTGAGCGTGTGCAATTTTTGTAAGTTTGAGTTCTGAGAAATGGCGTTCAAAGTACAAAATAAAAGCAAAATATTGTAAGAAATTCCCAAGATATAACAACAAGTAAACTACATAAAATTGCACCCCTCCGAGGTCTGGGAGCCCCGCGAGGCCTCCACCTCTAGCAGCATGAGAACGGGTTGCGCTCCAGTTCCCTCCCTGCAGCATCATCACAAGCAGCAGCAGCAGCGGAAGTTTGCCTGGCTCACGCGGGACAGCTGGGCCCGCGGACCCCCCGCCCGCTCTCGCCGCACCTTCTTTCAATCAACGGTCCAGAAAACCTAAGGCGGGCTTTGACGAGCGCGCATCTTTGGGCGGGCATTGGCTGGGGGTGCGGCCGGCCCAGTGACGTCGAGCGGAGGGGGCGGGGATTGCGCGGGGGTGACACGTCGGACGGCGCCGGCGGCGGATCTCCTGCGAGACAACCCAGGAGCGGCGCCTCCCCTGCCCACCGCCCCTCGCGCCTTCCGCCCTTCTGCTGCCTCGCGGGTCGGGATGGGGCGGCTCTAGACCAATAAGGCTCCGGATCCCGCAAGTGTTCCAGAATTGGGCCGGCCCGCCCACCTCCGTTGCTTGGCAGCGACGGCCCCTCCCCCTTCCCAGGACCCGAAGCCGGGACCCGGTTCGCTGCCCCCCCCTTTGCTCCGGCGCCTCGTCGGAGCGGCCCTTCCTGGCAGGAGCCACCGACCCCCATGACCCCTGGGCCTGCCGGAGAGGCCCCCTGGTGACCTTCGTGGGCAAGAGCCCCGGGCTCCTTGGCCTCAGGACTCCCCACAGCTTCCCCCCTTCCCCTCAGGAGGTTTAAAGGCACGCCCTTGAGCCCCTTCCCCTGTTTGGCCACCGAGGCGCCCCTCCCGGTGTCCCCTTCAACTCGAGACAGCCCCCCCTTGCCACGCTGCCCTGCTTGTGCCCAGGTGCCCCAGCCTCTTCCCAGCACACTGGCGCCATGCGCTTCTCCCTGGTGCTGTCCCTCCTGCGCCCTGTGGGGCCTGTGGTGGTCGGGGTGTCCCTGGGCTTCACCCTCAGCCTGCTCAGCGTCACCTGGGTGGAGGAGCCCTGCGGCCCCAGCCAGGGCAGCCTGCGAGATGGGGGCATGGAGCAGCAGCAGCACCAAGGCGGGCAGGGCAACGCCGCCCGCAAGCCCAACTCCGTCCCTGCGGGGATGGGCACGGAGCCTGAGCAGAGCTGGGAGCCCCGCGTCCTGCCCTACAAGCCTCCCAACCCGGGCAAGGCTGCCAAGAAAACTATCAGGTATGGGGGGGGGGAGGAAATGGGGTGGCTTGGGGGAGCAAAGGGTGTGTATCGAAAAGGGAACAGGAAAATGGGCTTTGGCCCAAATGTAATCTCAAGGTAATCTGGCCACTGTTTGGGTTCCCGTGGAATTTAGAGGCTCACAGGTAGGTGTAATTTGCGGCCTCTTTGTTATACTGCGGTGGTCGTGTGATGGGAATATGCCACATTATGTGACCTATTAGTGGTTCCATCTAGCTGCTGGCCTGTGGACATAAATACTTGTATGTAAGCAATCTTTTCATAATGCTGAATGAAACAGTATAACATTCGATCAATATAGTGTTCACCCTCATAGCAGCCCTATGGAGGTAGGTGACAGGGACTTGTGACTGGCCCGAGGCCACACAGTTAAACCCTGATATAGGTGGGACTTTAATCCATGCCTCCCACGTGCAACACCTAACTGCCTATTCAGATGTGGTAAGCACATCCATAGTGGGCCTATGTTCAGAACAAACGTGCAGATTCATGGGCTGTTTCCTGTGGTGGTTCCAATCAGAGATTGGTTAAGGGTCTTCAGGGCTCTGTGGGCTGGGGGAGAGCTTTGTTGTTGGCATCCACCTATCTCAAGTGACATAGAGGTGTGCCTCCACAGGTGAAGTCGAACCACTGTGTTGGCATCACTGAAGTGACCTCCCAGGGGCGCAAGCCTGGGCAGTATGTATGGGAGGTCCTGGGCTGCCCAGACAAGAAGACCCCCCTCTCAGCCTCACTGATGTGGTCCAAAGGAAGCAGAGCAATATGTTTGACACCAGCTTGGCTGCAGGAGTTGCTGGAAGGAGGCATACAAGATGCCAAGCAACCTAAGGGTTTACTCCTTTGCCTTTTCTTCTCCCGAAGATATTCTGCAAGGCTTAAAACTTGCTTTTTGAGAAAACTCGGCCTTGGATGAAAAAGCTATGGAGGGCCATGGTACAATAGAGCCAATCCCTGATCGTGGGCATGGAGTGCTATGGTTCTCTGAGCCCCCTTCTTTCTGCCTCCTGCATTCAGACTGCTGCCCTCCTTTTTTATGACATCCCACAGGAAAGCTTGGGGCTGTGTTCTTCCTATTCAGGAAGTCTTTCGGTACAAATAGTTTCCTTTGAAAGGAAATGGGCTTGAGCAGTGCTTTTCTCAGGGGGCATGCAAGGGTACACAGTAACTGTACCTCTTTTTGTTGTTGTTAAAAAGTGTGGCACTTACTGTAACAACTTTATGGTGTGTACCAGCACCTACCGTATTTTTCTAGAAAAAAAGCACTGGGCTTGAGTAAAGAAAAGCAATGATGGGCTATTGCTGTTCCAGAGGTAGCTGAATGAGGGCTTAATCAAACAACAGTGTATATCTTGGGCTTCTGCAGAACCTTTCAACACAGTTGTTTCTCCTCCCTTAATAAATGTAATAATATTTTTAATTTTTATAGCACTTTAGATGTTCAAAATATTTCATTTCTTTTATCTGTAATCCTTACTATAACCTTTTAAGCTAAGTCAGTATTATTATCCGCCAGATTTAGCAGGCGGGCAGAGAATGAGATAAATGAAGTACCTAAGGCTACCTAGTGCAGGGGGGTTCACATATTCTACCCCCAGGACCTACTTGCAGTGGCTGAAAATTGCTGAGGCCCACCAGTCAAAAAATAGTGGTGTATTATTATTTTCATTACATTTATGTACCACCCTTTCCTCCAAGGAGCTCAATGTGGGGTGCATTATTATTTTCTTCCCCATTTTCCTCTCACAACAGCTCTGTGAGGTAGGTTAGGCTGAGAGACAGTGATTGGCCCAATATCACACACTGAGCTTCATGGCTAAGTGGGGATTCAAACTCTGGTCTCCTAGGTTCCAGACCAGCACTCTAACCATTACGCCACACTGGTTTTCCAAGTGTAGGGGCAGGGGCAGGCACAAAATGGTGGCAAATAGGCAGAATTTGGCATTAGTTGGCAATTACTGACATCATATCTAACTTATCTTTGGAAAATGCTGCATTCCTTGCAGCATTTTCTTTGTGATATGGAGTTTGATATTTCAGCTTTCCTCAAGCAAAGTACAGACATTTGCTCTGGAGGTATTTTGGCAGCCTCCCCATTTAAGGCAGTATTGGTTGATCCAGAGACAAAGTGGAGAAAACTTTTTCTTTTATATTTCCCACCTTCTCACCCTGCCTGCCTTTCAGAGGTTTTTACCCCCATCTCCAGTAATTTCATCACCCATTCTCCTTCCTTACTCAACTTACACCCCTGCCCCCAACCAGTTTCTTTCCTCTCTCCTCTATTGTCTTTTTACATTCGCTTCTTCCTCCTTTAAACTTCCTTTCTATCCACTTTCTTTCTATGTTCAGTTTGTTCGTTTATTATTTTCTATTAAAGGTAAAGGGACCCCTGACCATTAGGTCCAGTTGTGACTGACTCTGGGGTTGTGGTGCTCATCTCGCTTTATTGGCTGAGGGAGCTGGCGTATAGCTTCCGGGTCATGTGGCCAGCATGACTAAGCCACTTCTGGCGAACCAGGGCAGCGGATGGAAACACCGTTTACCTTCCTGCCGGAGCGGTACCTATTTATCTACTTGCACTTTGACGTGCTTTCGAACTGCTAGGTTGGCAGGAGCAGGGACCGAGCAACGGGAGCTCACCCCCTTTTATCTCATTTCCCTTTAATAACACCTCCCCTGTCCCTTTTCCTTCAGAGGAAGAACTTCCTGTCCTCCAACTCTTCCTGAACTTCTCTCTTGCTTTGTCACCATTACTCATCTTGCAAAAGGAGTTGCTTGTGCTGATACTGGTCCAACTGAAAGGCTGTGGCATGGTTAGGGGGCTAGACAGGCAAATGAGGAGGCACTAAGCAGTCTGTGCTTCTGAGGCCCACGTGAAAGTGGCCCAAGGCCTATTTTCAAAAAGCAATGACCTAAGTTCATTGTAGAGGTGAGATTCAAACCAAGGACTTCTGATTCATAGTTCATTCTCTTAGCTGTAACACTACAGATCTCTGTACAGCTTATTGGGTGATTTTGGCACTTTCCTTTATGAAAGTCCTCCTGTTCTTGGGGTGCTGCATTTATATGTCTACCACCTTGAATTCCATGGAATAAAGGTGGGATCTGGACTTTTCTAGTTCTCCAAAAGACTATTTTGTCACTGGGAAAGTGCATTTCCCATCACCATCTACCACATGTTGCACTGACTAATGAATTTTATCTGTGTGTTTTTAAAAACACAATGTGTAAAATGTATTGGAGACTCTGCACTCCTCCTGAAATAGTAAAAAAAAGGAGTACTTGCATGTGTGGGAGGAAACTAAGATCTGTGGCCCTTGTGTGGGTTAATTAATAAAAGAACCAGTTGGATGCCTGGCTTCAAAACACGGGACTTTGCACACACTCCATTGGAGGAGAACCTCCAGCAAAATTTAAAATAGTCATAGAGTTAAACTGCAGCATAGCATGGGAATATAGGTTGTTAGACCCCTTTTCATATCCTGTTTAATCTGCTTACAGCACTTGCCCCTCTCTCTACCGCTCTGTCAATGAGTAAACCACACTCGTTTAACAGCTTTACTAACAAAACCCAAATGTCAGATTCATGCATTATTCCATGCTGCAGCAAGGAGAACACAGGCAGAATGCTCATGGGTACAAAATACAGATAATTAGCTTCAAACACCCAGTCTTGGCAAGTTCAGACATGTCCTTCCTGGTCGATTACATGGGACAAAGATAGTGTGAGGAAAGGAAAGGAAAGAAGCTTCACTTCCTCAACAAAGGTGAGGGTGTGTGACCTAACTGAATCTAGCAATAGAACTTTGGTCTTAACCCCTTCATGCATTACCGTATTTTTCCGTGTATAAGACTAGGTGTTTTTAAAAAATAGGATTAAAATTGGGCCCCTTCTTACACACGGGCAGTGCTGAGGGGTGTGTTCTTAATTTGGCGTCCCCCAAAATAGGGAGCGTCTTATACATGGTGGTGTTTTATACACGGAAAAATACGGTAATTAGCCCTATGTTTTCTTGTTTTGTTTGACTGCAATTTCCCACGGCATGAATATTTTGGGGCAACAAAATTATAGAAAGACTGTTCCTCTCTGCCTGCTTTTAGCAGTGCCTTGCAATTTGAAGATTTTCTTAAAAAACCTTTTTATACTTCTTCAGGTCTCACTTTTCTAGCACAGAAGTGCTTATTTCCTTTAAGAAACTGACCTCCTTTCTTGCAGCAATGTCAATTATTTATGGACTGCACAGTGCTCCATCTAGGAATATCCCACAAAGGCAAAAAATGGTTTTGACTGTTTGTTATACATAGGTTTCTACCCTGTCTCCTTTATTATTATTATTTTGCAGCCCAAATAAGCTGAGAGCATGGTGGAGTCTTCTAAGTGCTCTACTGTATGCTCAGATCCTGATTTACCATGCCCACAAAAACTTAATTTGCAGTTGTGCAGAAAAGGTGGTTTTGCTTTTGTGTTCTCCGTAGTCTATGGCTTTTTGAGTGGGTGATTCTTCCAGACTTTGAAAACAAGTAATTTCCAGGAAAGGGCTGGCTGCTATGCTTCAGAAAAGTCCTGTGGCTCCCTTTGTCCATGCATGTGAATAGTCAACACATATTGATAGGTCAGCATGCATTCATATATTTCCTATAAGGGTCCTCATTGATGGTGGGGCACCTGGACATTTATATTGGTACAAATCTATTTAATCCAGAATGACAAAAATAGTGTGGATGGTATAAAAGCCCCAAAATGTAATCATGTCAGTTGACCTTTAGGTATGTCCATAAATGATTTGCCATTGTTTGGCATGTTTGTTTGAGTCCTGCACACCATATAAGGTTTTCCTTCTCCCTGTGTGGAATGATCCCTTAGTCCAAATTGCTGACCAGGGAAGTACCAGCTTTCTGTGTTTAACGGAGATGATATAGGATATCATTGCATAGCTTTGTACTATTGTGGATCCTTCTTTCCACTTTTCCAGTTTATTCCA